TGTGATAATCAAGCAGCACTTCACATTGCATCCAACCCAGTCTTCCATGAGAGAACGAAGCACATTGAAGTTGACTGTCACTTTATTCGAGAAAAATTGTTGCAGAAGCAGATTGAGACTAAATATGTAAACTCAGCTGATCAGTTAGCTGATATATTTACTAAACCGTTGGGGGGCTCAAGGATAAAGTACATTTGTAACAAGCTTGGAGCACACAATATATATGCTCCATCTTGAGGGGGAGTGTTAAAGGGTATTTAGGTCTTTTATGTAATACCTAAGGTTTCCTAAAGTTTTCCTAACTCTTATTATAAATAGTGTGACTGGCTAACACTATTGTTAAGCCTTCTTACTCTTTTACTTCAACAGATGTGATGGAAAATATTATTTTATTGAAAAATGTGTGGTTGAAAATGAGTAGAATGATGAGAATGAAAATTTTAATGTGGCTCAAACGTGGGCTAAATGAATTACCAAATAGTTGCATTTACTTCCGATGGATTAGAATGAATGTAAGTGACTTCTAAGGATCAACATAGAAGCTTTAGTATGGTAAGGGACTAATATAGGAATTATATTCTTTCTTCTCTTGTATATACATTACTGTGAAGAAATGAGAATACAACTTTCTCTTTCTATTGTCAAATAAAATCAATCACAGAAAGCTTTTTGTATCAGTGAACTTTGGACAACTTTGTGTAAGAGAGTGGGCTGCCCATAACTACATGTAATATCCTCAATCCAAAGGAAGTAACCAGTACCTGAAATTTTTCATAAAGTTTGTCTCCGTAAAGAAAAATTCAAAGATTGATCAACCAGGAAGTTGGCAAGCATTAATAGCATCTTTCCCTAGGTAATAAAAAAATTTTATTGATGCAATTTACTAGGAGAGCAAAAGTCAATTTTTTTTCGTGTTAACGCCACCTCCACCCGCATCCTAATGGGGCATCAAAATATTACACGACACCAGCCCAATTGATGAATTTCACCTATTCCTAAATTTTGATCAAAGATAAAATTCTCCAAAGTCAAATTACTGTAAATAAAATATTACCTTGATTGTAACTCAAATTACCACCTTCATAAGCTAGACTATCCCAGTATTCTCCAATTGCAAAAGAAGGATTAGAAGCTTCTACATATTCTTTCACGTATCCACCAGAGAAGCCTCTGCAAACAAAAAGAAAGGAACTATGTCCCACTATACAGTTTTTGCAAGTACAACGATTTCTGGGATGATTTGCAGAAGCATTTTTTATTTTGTATATTTGCATACCATCAATTGGTCAATACAAGGTAAATAAATAAATAAAACACTATCTAAAAATTATCTAATTTCAGTCTATTGAAATTACTAGATGGCTTTCGAACCTAATGATGAGAGGAGTACAAAATCAAATGAACAGTAAAAAATGCCTCCAAATCATGTGTCAAATATCTGGACGCTATTATGCACCGACCAGCAGAAAATGCATTTGTTCTCTATTCAAGTTCCTAAGTTTTTTTATGAAGATAAATGGAATCACGACAAATTAGTTAGCTTGTGATATATGTTGAAGATATATGGAAAGAATAATCTCTATGATATTTTTTCCATAATGTGGGATTATTTTTCTTAATAATTGATTGTATAATTATTATGCAATCTTTCCTTTTAGAGTTATTTATAACCCTATAAATATGGTCTTTTACTTTGTAATAGAAACAAGTTTATTATATACAATTTATAATATTTTTCACATGGTTTCAGAGCAGTTTCGATCCTAAACAAATTAACTTTTGAATTTCGTTTCCGGCGAGCGGCCTTAAGTCGCTCGTCCGGCTACCAATGTTGTTTTTCTTTTTGGATGTATCCCTTTAGTTTAGTATATGTTTAGCTCATCTGGAATTTGGTCCAGTTCATTTGGAATTTAGTTTAGTATATGTCCAGTTCATCTGAAATTTGATTTGGTGTTGGTTCGGTGTATCCGAAATTTGAAATTTGCATCCAGTTTATTTGGTATTTGTCGAGCTGGAATTTGAAATTTGCGTCCAGTTCATTTGGTATTTGTCAAGCTGGAATTTGAAATTTGCATCCCTTTAGTTTAGTAGTGGATACATTGGTTACTTGCAGATATGGGCGTTCCTTCTTCCTCTCCAACCCGTATTGAGATTGACTATCATCTGATTTCTCCTTCAAGTCTTGGTGATAGTTTGGTTAGATTGGTGGATGATGATTTTTCAATATCAACTTTGAGTTATTTGTTCGGCTTGGTTGACATACAAGCAATTTTGAAGATTTGATTTGATCGATTTATCTTTCAAACTCAATTTGATTGCTGCTATGCCATATTGAGTTTGAGGAAGGGTGTTGAAGATATAGAAAGAATAATCTCCGTGATATTTTTCCAATAGTATAGAATTATTTTTCTTAATAGTTGATTGTATAATTATTATGCAATCTTTCCTTTTAGAGTTATTTGAGTTATTTATAGCCCTATAAATACGATTTTTTACTTTGTAATAGAAACAAGTTTATTATATACAATTAATAATATTCTTCACAATATACAATGGAAAATTTAAATTTTTATACATGTACCTCACAAAATCAAGGCGCCACCCATCAAAACCAATATCATTTCTGAGCGAGTTCAGCCATTCCTTTATATCTCTACGAACGAAGTCCTGTGAATGATCAATGTTTGGTGCCGCATGAAAAATATCACCTATTTTTTTGTCAGCAGAAAAATCAATAAGTTACATGCTTGCTAATTTACTATGTAAGAACATCTCCAAGAGACTATCTATCGATAAAGAGAATCTTATGTATAATATAGAGATTAAAACTTTTTATATACTCCAACAATGCTCTTTATTTTGGCTCTTCATTTTTTTTTTTCAAGAAATGTTTATTGGTTTCTTCTCATCTTTTATTTAAATATTTGCTAAATGTAAATGACCAATTAATTCACATATGATCAGCATAATTTGAAAAATTAAGTATTGAAATTTGTAACTTATTATTTAAATGCAATCATTATTAAAATAGAGAGTCTCTTGCAGTTTATTTTTAAGAATTTACTCTCTAAAATAGAGAGCATCTTGTGTTCAAATAGTCTCTTGGAGATGCTTTAACAAGGTTACATGAAACTCTCATAACATGGTCCAGATTTCCCATGACAAGTGAAGACATCAATCCTTTCTTCTAATTTTTGGGTGAATTACGAAAGAAGGTGTTTGAAGACAGATTATAACATAAAGTAACTAAACAAACATCAATAAAAAAAATTCTTTTCATAGCAATATCAGAAAGCAGTTAGTTGGTCTGATATCAGAAATTACTATGAGTATATCATAGCATCAAAAAGCTTTTGACAGAATTGCAAAAGACCACAAGGAGCTAAATTGCTAATAAGTTGAAAAGGCAGATGATGTAAAAGAAGAATTCTGTGAGCCCCAGCAGAAAGTAAGTGTACCTGTAACTACAGGAACAATTCCATTATAATCACCCGCATCATTAAGGAAGACTGAGAAACTGAAATTTTATAATAATGTTTTTGGTTAAGCTTAACATGGTGGCAAAATCCTTCTTTTTATCCATACATTTTGTAGAACCCAGAACTTACTGATCACTTATTATCCACACATTCTGCAGGACCCACAACTTATAAACACTTAAAAGCACTACCAAACAAGCATTTTTTTAGACTAAAAAACCTTGACTTCTCCACGTTCAGTCCAACGTCAAGTTCGCTACTCTGTGTAATTTCAGAAGATCGGATATTTTTCGCAAGTGCACTCCTGTAAGTCTCGAGCCTTGTTTAGCAGAGATCAGATCATGAATTTGCCATTAAAGGTAATAAAAAGTATCATGCATAATTCGATAGATGTCTCAATATCAATTACAAGAACTTTTTCAGGTGCATCAGTTTTATCTCAACTGAAAAAACTATAGGATATTTTCATCAGAGAATATTTTAAGTGATTTATTTTAGCCAATGGTAGCATGTGTACTCCAGGTGATGTGCTTTCATCAGAGAAGAATGCTTCATATTGTCAGCTTTCTTGAGGCAATTATACAGTGTGACCAGTATATGTGTGGCTTACATTTGATTTTGCTGACTACTAAATAAATGCTGATAGAAAAGAAACTTGAGAATTCAAAACTATGACAACACCCAGAAAAATAGACTGATTAAGCCATTCTGACTTTCCAAGACAAACAAAAGCATAGAACTTCCGGTCCAAATTATTTCACATCTTGGTTAAAACTTAAAAGATGTGGATGCTCATTGAACCGCTTGAATCAGATACGACTTCAAAATGTTAACTGTATAGGTCGCTGGGTGGTTGTGAGATCAAGGCAGAATGTACACATAAGGAAAAAATTATATGCTGAATTTTTTATTTTTATTTTTGCAAGGTGTCTATAGCATGGAACACACAGAAACTTTTGCATATGAATGGAAATTTTATTTTCACCCACATTCTAGCACCATGCAAATGGAAACATTAATCATGTAAATTTTCATGGAACAATAGTCATACCACTGGAAGGATTTCCACGCCCTTGGAAATTTGGATCATCACAAACAATTGCTTCAGGCCCCCAGGCAAGCCTGCCTCCAAATATGTTCCAGACACCATTTGGACTCTGCAAATACGCGACAGTCAGCTCTTTGAAGTGAGGCATTGTTCTGTGATGTCAAAGAGGTTCGAACAAAAATTCCTAGGTCAATACAACTAGAACAGAAAAAATGAGTGAAAAAATAAAAAGGAGGGTAAATTTTAAATTTTTTTACAAAAAGGACATTACTATCAAGAGCTAACATTTCAAATACCTGTTCTATAGGATAAAATTTTTGAGCATTGGATAGTGAGAAAAAAAAGAAAGCACGTTCAAATTGCCAGAATAAGGGTGTGTTTGATGGGTATTATTGAGGAAAGAATCTTCTGTATACTCTACAATTTTGAATGTTGACCCCTTCCCTACCCAATTTCTAAAAATTTGTTTAATTGGCCCAGAGATATCAAAAGAAAAAAGAAAGGATTTTTTTATTCTGTCCAAAAAAAGAGGGGAATGCACATTTGCTTGAAACAATTCCCAAATAACTATTTTATGCCTTTGAGCACGTATAGAACCTTTTATTATGCCTCGCCGAAAATCTGATTGTTGTGAATAGCGTATTATGATGTGAAATATGTGATTAAAAGGTAAGGAAAAGTTATTGATGTGAAGGAAAATATTATTTTATTGAAAAATGTGTGGTTAAAAATGAGTTTTGAAAGAATGTATTTTACAAGAATGTGTACCAAACAGGGGCCAACTCTATCACCATACATGTAAAAGTTTTTGGGATAACATATTGTTAAAAGGACATTACAACTAGTCTGGCGTTGGCACACAAACCATACATGTAAAAGTTTTGCATAACATATTGTTAAAGAGAAAACAACCAGTCTGGAGTTGGAACACAAAAGATGCAATCTGTGACCAGACACGTACTCTCAATCTGGGAGAAGAATGCTTGAATAATCAACAATACACAGCCTGTTTGTCAGTGCTCAAAAGAAGATTAAAATCTTCTTTTTTTGAAGTCTGTCATACCTCCAAAAAAGTGGGTTTTTCTTTACTTTTAAGCACAGCCAAACATGCAAACACATAGACAGACAGAATGCTCTTATGCTTCTCTTTTTCTTTTTCAACAGATGTGAATCAGAAATTCATGGAAATAATTGAAGTTTCTTATTAATTTACATCAATTTCTGAGATTCAAATTCTTATGCAATCAATTGATCTACTACAAACAACTCATAGACCAAGTATAGCTTCTCGATAATGAAGCATCGGCTACTATGTCTGGATGTCAAGGGAGCATCAAGCATTTGCAAACCAACTCTCAATTCAGATATGAAATCAATTACGCAATACAATGGGCAAATCAAATTATTAAGAAAGTGTCTACCTGCTTATGAGCACATCTATGATTCAATACAACATCTCCCAAGGCCTGCAGTCATATACAAGATAAAAATTATCAAAATATCGATAGCAAGCAACCTCATTGCCTATTTATGAGACAAGTACCGACATAAGCCACTAATTAGAGATTACTGGTGTACCATTTCAAGTTACATTGAGAGAGAGAGAGAGAATCTGCCAGTATATTCTCAAAAATTGAAAAACAGATAAAATAAAATCTGACTGATAGACACGGAATCTTCATTTGATTCATTAAAGTAGGGTGTATCTTTACCCTTCAGTAGTCATGCACAAAAATTTCTTTCATGTTCATGAAAACCAAATAATATAGAGAAGCATTACATGCATCCGCAACAAGCAAATCGAGCACACTATTCTTTGAGTGCTTTCTACATTTTTTTCCTAGAAAAAACTGTTTAACACAAAAATACATTCTGCTTTCAAGAACTTCACACTGCATATGAGAACGAGTACATAATGTTCAGAGAACATTATCTTTAATGGCACAGATAATCTTGTCAAATTGATGCATAACAATTTACCAGAAGATCTTGATTATGCATTTCCTCTATACAGGACTTCAACTCTTCCTGAGAACCGTAGGCCGAGTTCAGGTTGTAAAGGTCGGAAGGCATATAACCTGCAGTTTACCCTTTATTATTCAGTAATGCAACTAATGAAAGATTTACATAAAGAAACGAAAAATCAAAAGCTTGCGATCATAAAGAAAATATAGGTAAGTCTTAAACATACACATGATGATGCTTGATCAACAACTTTTTAATGTTAAACAAATAATCAATAACACTATAATAAGACCACATACTGTAGAAGGAGAATGATCTTTCATGCATGCAGAAGCAGCACAAATTTGTAAGAAAATAATGGCATCAGCCAAAAGTATATGCATGAAGAGTGACTTTGTGTCTCGAGTAATTGATGTGAACAAGACAGTGTATATTATCACAGAGGGGCAACCTTGAGGTGCAACAGATTCTGTGGGTGGGGGAAACCACACAGCTGTAATGCCACAGCGTGACAAGTCAGCGGCCTTAGGAGCAAGCTCAAGGTACCACTGTCTTCTCCAGCTCTCCCAATTGAAACCTTGAAACTTCAAAAGGAGAAAAACAACGTATAAATCGTTAAACATCTAATAAAATGATTGGGTTCACTGTCAATAATAATCTTTACAGCATGTTTTGAAGAAAAAACTGTCTTTTTGTAATTTAGTTAGCTAGATTCTACAAGAAAGATTTTGCCAGCTTGTCAATGATGATTGTGGCTTCCTATGCTTCAGGAAACTGTAAAAATCTCGATAGAAGATAGAGCAAATGGAATAGATTTTGAATGTTCTCTTTGAGTAATAGATATACAAAATCTATCAAGATACATATTATCTGTAGTGTGACATATTGAAAAGAATATCACATTAGTACAGTAAGTTTAAGGTTCTCTGGCATTCCCAGAAATGTCCACACTCTTATCTATTAATTTGCCCTTGTTTGGACAAGCACTGACAGCAACAACTCGTGCAAATTTCTACATTTTGACGTTAACATTACACTATCATGCTTGAATCAGTAAGATGAAACGGACAATAGAAGCAGCAGAAGATAATAAAATCACTTGGACCATTAAAGAGATCTGAAAATAAATTCATCAAAAGTACAAGTCTTTATCCCAGAAAGTTCTCCATAAACTTATCTCCTACGATCTCATGCCCAGTAGCACACAAACAGAGACATCAAACATCAAAAGTACACGTCTTTATCCCAGAAAATGCTCCATAAACTTATATTCTAGGACGTTCTCGTGTCCAGTAGCATACAAACAGAGACATCAAATTCCTGGGAGAAAGAAATACACAAAAGCTACCAAAAAGAGGGGAAAAGAAATACATGTACATGTTCACAGTGCTTTTAAAAGTTACATATCAGTTTCTAGAAGCAATTACTACAAATTGCAGGCTTGTAGTTAGATGCATCTTCTGTGCTTTTCATTCAACTTAATGCAGCCGAGCAGGTGGTTAATATGATTAAAGTCCTAGGTCCATGCAGAAGGGGTCCACAAAGTACCATATAATCCAAGTTATAGAACTAAAATCTTTTTCTTAGGACGAAACACAAAAAAGCTATCCATGCTTAGTGTGGCAGGCAAGCTTATCATGCATGTTAACCAAGATTTGAAGAACAGTTACATTTGTATTGGAGTGGATGACAAGAGAGATGTACTAACCACTATTTCACGTCCAGTACCAGTTCCTGGCTCTGCATTGAAGATTATGCATAAAATTGAGGATCTTAATTGAAAAAAGTGGTTATAAGTCAATTTTAAGTAACAATATTTGATAAAACCAACCTAATTTTGTTTCTTCTGGAGTTCTTTGCCATTTGATTGTCTTCCTTTGAAGAGCACGCTCCAAAGCCTTGCGTTTCTTTTCAATAATTTCTTTCTCCATCACGTGCTCAACAAGTGTGTCGTCTTCCTTTGTCTTTACCCGGGCGATGGACCACACTTCATCTGGTTTGGGCAACTCCAAAGTTTTGAATTTTGAGAACCTTGCTTCAGGCAAGCCAGTCTTTCTAGGTGGAAACTTGGGATGAATGGAACGAATCTGACGTGCCATCCAGTCAGGGATCTCCCTGCGAGGACCATCACTCAGTAATTTCCATTTTTGTGAATCATCATCCATCAAGAGGTCTATTCGGCCACCATTAACAACATAAATTGCATCCTCATCCTGTTCACTAAGTGGGACCTGCTTCAACAACAGTGATTCTGCCATTTCCGCTCTTTGCCTCCATGTCTTTGAAGTAGCTTCAGCTGCTTTCAAAGATCTCTGCAGAGCTTCACATCTTCTCATGTAAGCCTCATCTTTAGACCAAGCTGCTCCTTTAGCAGCTTCAAGAGCCGCCTTAATAGTCTCCAACTCAACCTTAAAAGCCTTTGAAGCAGCCTTCCTTTTATCTGTAGAATCCTTTTTCATTTTCTCCAACAATATTCTAACTTCCTCTTCCTGTTGGAGGAACACTTTCCTAGTTGATTCCTGAAAATCAAGCAGTTCTTTCTCAGAGTTACGTGCCTGGAGTTCATATGCTTGTGCTCGCAGCAGGGTTTGTTCCAACTCTAACTTCAATCTACCAATCTCATTTTTGGAACCTAATAATTGAGATTCAAAATCAGTTACTGCATTCTGTAACTTAACGTTCTGAGACTTGATAGAGACAATCTCTTCAAGCGGATTTAAATCAACGGTGAATGCCGCCATGGCTTTTTCTGTATGGTCACCCGCTGCTTGAGCAGCAGCCAAAGCCTTATCTATTGCATCTTTAGACTGCTTCACAATAGAAACTATAGTCCCTTCAGTTGCACTCCGTATTTGTTCCTCAATCCGATAAGCAGCCTCTGCAGCAGAAGTTTCAGCAGCAGAAACTCGCATTTGGGCATCTTCTAATATGTGAGATGTGGCCTGCTGAAAAGCAATCTCTGCCAACTTTTCAACCTGAATTGCAAGTTCAACAGCATCTTGTTTTGCAAGGACCAACTTAGATTCCAAATTGAACTTCTCCTCTACAGATTCCTGAAGCTTCTGATGGAATAGAGCTTTAGCCGCCTCAAGTTCTGTAACAGCCAGTTCCTTATCATGCATGATAGTGGCCATGTATTCCTGTTGTTTAGCTTCTGCTCGAGCCAACTCTTCAAGTAACTTATCCCTCTCTTTCTCAATAGCTTCTTCTCTTGCGTGTGCCTCAGAAAGAGCTTCTCGAGTAGCCAAAAGTTCATTTTCACCAATCTCCAATACTTTACTTTTCCCTGATGGACCATCATCGTCATCAAAAAGATTTGAGAAATCTTCACTAGAATCACCTCCCTGTCATTTGAATATATTTCATAACTACGCTGTCATTTGTTTTCTATGGGGCTAACATCAAAATGGACAATGTCCAGTTTCGTATTTGAAACAGGCAGTTAAGTCCATCAGCTATTCAACTTCTATATCCATACTAAATATTTGTTAAATAAGTGAATTAGTCTTCATCCTAACATCGTAGCTATTGCCATCCAAAGCCCATACGATATGAACAACCAGAAGGGGAGGGGAAACTAGGATTGAACACAAATTTTGCAATATAGTGCTTACCATACTTGAAAAGACAACAAGTCTTGATCTATCGGGCCAAGCACTCACGTACAAGGATTTTCTGCAATACTCACAACGTGTTAGAATATCATCAAGTTTGACTAAAAACTAAATGCAGCCTCATCCTTACACCTCTTTTTCTTGGAAAATCTTTTATGAATCAAAGAATGATGCCACTTAAGATCAAAAAACAAATTGTGGCAGTTTTGCATCCCTGAGAAACCATTTGGCTGGCAAGGAAGAGTCCTCAGAACTGCATCTGCCAATAAAATTGCACTCATCCTCCTGCCACCAAATCAAAATTTTAAATTTTAGAGAAACAAACCCCATCTGTGATCTGCCAATAAAACTGCACTCATCCTCCTGTCACCAAATCAAAATTTTAAATTTTAGAGAAACAAACCCCATTACTAAAATTGGTTCTCATAAAAAAAAATGCAAATTTTATGAACAAGCGTGTGAGAATTACCTGCAATATGAGAATACTGCACATTAAACAAAACTAATGCGTACCATATAAATAATGGGTCGTTACCCATAGGAATAGATCTTGACAACATTAACTAAACGAGCTTACATTAAGTACTAATATTATAATACAACCTTAAGCAATCCCAAATTGGAAAATGAGAAATATGAAGAAAATTACTTACCTGATTAGAAGACAACTTTGAATAATCAATTCCAGTAATTTTTCATCCAAGATTTTGAATCAGAAACAAAAATAGAGTGGTAATTCTTGTGGTGCAGACTTGTAGCTTATAAGCTATATGCAGTTATGCACACGCTTACGTTAATGGGAGAAGAAAAGTTTCAACCGTCAAAATGTGTGATTAAGCGTAACATAACAACTTTCAAGAAAGTCCACCTCCCATTGAAGGACCGTTTTGCCCCTGCACCAATTTTGTGATAAAATATCAAAAAATAATAATAATTGCAGTTTTCGTCCCAATTTTTTTGCAAAATGTAATAAATTCATACTGATTTTTTAGCAAAATCCATTCTCAAATAAAAAATATTAATTATGTATTTAAAAATAATTTTTTTTAAAAATTCATCTCCTCCAACTTTTATTATTGACTAGTAGTGAACAATAAATTAATCATCAAAATCCAACTTTACCATCTTATGATAGAATTAATTTTTATCAAATCATCTTTTTAAAATTTTAAAGATGCGCTTGGTATAAGCGTTGGACGAATTGAAAATACAGTAAAAAGAATTTTTAAATTTTCTTATACTTTAACGTACAATATTTACACGTTCCCTCCTATCGACTAAGCTTAAAATGCACATGTCGCAGTATAATAATAAATCATACTAAACTTTTATACAACCTTATTTTCTTAATTAACTTATTAAATGTTCACAAAAATCTCTTCTGAGGGTAGTTTCGTCATATAATAATATGTAGACTTTGATGATTTCAAAAGCTGATTATAGAAATCACGAGACACTGAACGTACGAGCCCACCAATAAAAAGGATCTGTGCTTTATACAGATTTGCACTTTATGGATAACATTATTGATACCTAGAAAAATATTAGATTTTATTTTTTAAAATAATTTACTTACTTTGATGTTGAAGAAAGAATTTCTAACAATAATTTGCACTCCGACAATCAAATCAACTTTCGAATCGAGATATAATGAATACAAGAGAGACAGGTGAGAAGGAATTTGGTTAAGATTTTTAGTACGCGCATTGAATGTAAAATGAACTATATAGAGGGAGTGAAATGGGCCAAGATACGCCTTCGAACTGGGCCAAAGTACAAGTACAAGTTGTTTAATGGGAAAATTAGGCAGGTACTCTATAAAAATAACTATTTTGATTAATACCTTTTAAACTAATTAGACATTTTAATCAAGTAAAATATACGTCCTAATCCTAAAATATACGTCCTAATCCTAAACTAAAACTCCAACCCCCGTAACCCAAAACAAGCAGACTCCCCCTCTCTTTATTTTCTTAATTAACTTATTAAAGGTTCACAAAAATCTCTTCTGAGGGTAGTTTCGTCATATAATAATATGTAGACTTTGATGATTTCAAAAGCTGATGATAGAAATCACGAGACACTGAACGTACGAGCCCACCAATAAAAAGGATCTGTGCTTTATACAGATTTGCACTTTATGGGAGAACATTATTGATACCTAGAAAAATATTAGATTTTATTTTAAAAAAATTTTAAAATAATTTACTTACTTTGATGTTGAAGAAAGAATTTCTAACAATAATTTGCACTGCGACAATCAAATCAACTTTCAAATCGAGATATAATGAATGCAAGAGAGACGGGTGAGAAGGAATTTGGTTAAGATTTTTAGTACATACATTGAATGTAAAACGAACTATATAGAGGGAGTGAAATGGGCCAAGATACGCCATCGAACTGGGCCAAAGTACAAGAACAAGTTGTTTAATTTGATGTGATCCAATCCAACTAAAATCATTGATGTCCAGTTCTCCAACACGTCACGTAATTTATACATATAACAAGATTTTTTGCTAAATATAATATAAGATAGAAATCATAGATATAGTAAAATTTGTATTACTACTGTGTTCACAATACACAAGTTTAAATCCCATCCCAACTGTAAGATCATAGGTTGTTTATCAGATGAAGAGATCAGACACAGAGATAGATGGCTCAGATCCATCCACAACAAAATATAACTGCAAATCTCTTCATATGCCTAGCTTGTCCAAATACCTCGGCAAGGTCTGTGTAACTCGTCCTCCTTAAAACGTTCTACCTAGACGCAAGTTGTTAGCAGATAAGTCGTCGTTTAAGTAAGAAACTGGCTTCTTGTTACAACCTTCGCTGTCAGCAAAATCAACAATCAACCGAGCAATAGCGTCTGGCTTCTCGACATGAGGCATGTGACCACACTCTGATACTTTCTGTATAACTGCATTCGGAAGTTCACTCTGCAGTCTCTGCATTTTGTTTCAAAGGAACAGAATTATTTAAACAGTATTTTACCAAATGAAGAGTAGAGGATGAAAACCCATCATATCCAACACTATTGAAAAGGACAGACTTGGTTTTTCGTATTAATTAATTGATTATTGAAGCCCGATTCAAAACTACAGAGGTCGGGTCTCCATTCAATCCTTTGTTGAAAATTTCACCGCACATGGGAAATAAAGGAGTGAACCTGACCTCTGAGAATTCACTGCTGATAATTTTGTCATCCTCACTGCAGACAATAAGTGTCTTCTGCTTCACCTGTGCAATGAAAGAGCATTGGTACTTAATTCTTCAAAAGTAACAATCGTATTTTCTACTTTCACTTGTAGCACGACACTTCAATGAGGGTAGCGTGTCTGTGTCAAACACGAGTCGATACCGACACTTTTCGAACACTCTACCGTAATCATTTTTCTTTTTATATTAAAAATATTATATATTGTTAATTCAAAGTTATTCGCAAGTAACAAATAGGTACTCATGTTTAAAAGATTTTAACAAGAAAAATTAATAAGTATAAAACTAAATTTATACTATATTCAAAATTATTAGCAAGTAACAAATAGATACTCGTGTTTAAAAAATTTCAACAAGAAAAATTAATAACAAGTATAAAACCAAATTTATGCTATATAAATGAAGAATTTTTAAGAATTTAATCAATGTGTCAATAGCGTGTCGTGTCTGTACAGCGTATCCGACACGTATCGTGTCCGACACACGTGTCTGTATCGGTGCATCATAACTTTTCTCCTTAGTTTTGTCAATTCTTTCCATTTGTCTACTGTGAAATATTGAGATAAAGAAAAATGCACTTTTGGTTATATATGATGAATTAGTGATCTTCATCGAGCACGGGGAAGTGGCAAGTGTATTTCTGAGTACCTGTTTTATTTGCCCAGAAACATTATAGCCCCCACTGAGCATAAAATCGACTGTAGCATCTTCCCACCAAGGTAAGAGACAGTGAAGGCGGCCAACCTAATTGGTTGAAGAGAAGTTGCATTAAACTTCACCTACAACTCACGGGACAGTACTAAGAAAGAAATAAGCTAAAATATATGCAATATATCGGGTCTTTCCAATATGTGTTCAGCGTATAACTTACATTCATCCAATCTATGGTCCTAGATAAAGGAAGACCCTCAAAAACTAGCCGCTTTGCATAGAACCGTATAGGAATGCTCTTCAAGAGAGAGACCTAACCAAGATACATTTTAGTGTTAAGAATTAGAAATCCTAATTCTATATGATTGAGAGCAATAAAATAGCATAAAAAATAGATGTAAGAACATGTAAGATTTATAAAAATTCGCTTCAACATGAGACTATGTTCTCATCCGCTAATGAAAAAAAATCGCACAAGCAAGATTTATGAAAAGAATGTTGATCCTCGCGGACTCCACATGGTGACAATAATTAGACTTCATAACTTAACATTTAGATGGTTGAATTAGTTTGCGACAGCAAAGTATATTGATACACAAGGAAGACGTGAATAAAAAGACAATCCAATTACATTCATACCATTGCGTATGCCATCGCTTTCGGTAATTTTGTCATGTATCCTGTGCCTTTTGCATAGACGCTTGCATTAATCAAGACCAAACTATCAACCTACACACCATTCCAAGCAAATTTTAGTGTAATCAAAACCTACTATCTACGATAAAATTTCAGTGATATATGTATATATCACACGATAAAATCTAGAACAAAGACTGAAATATTAAGAGCTTTTTCGGGGAGGAAATAAATTCTTACAGCTTCGGGGAAATTGACAGCAAAGTCAATTGCAACTGCTGCACCAAGGCTTGGTCCAACTAATGTCATTGGTCTTTTGATATGTGATTTCCATAGCTATTTTATACAAGATAAAAGCAAAATTCACCCTTAATAGACAAAAAATTCTGACCAACAAAGTTTTAACACACTTTTGAAGAGAATACCTGATAAAGATGGTTTCTTTTAGATGCTACATTACACGGCGGACGTCTTTCTACAATAAAGAATCGAAACCGGAAATTAGAAAAATGCCCTCTCTGTATTCTCTACCTACTCACCAGAGTCGTATCGAGTACAATGTAGCCTTTTGTTTAAAGATTGTTCAATAATAGAAAAATGCTGTTATAAGTAACTGCAGATTAAGGCTTAAAAGTTCACCTAAGTCAGAGAAACCCCATCCAAGAATATCTATAGCCCAAGCCTCTAAACCAGCTTTTTCAAGCAATGGATATGCACTTCTCCATTCCAAACAAGAACTGAATATCAAATTTCACATATAAACATGTACTCAAGAAAAAGAAGTATATATCTAAAACAAAAGTCTAAGGGTGTCCTCAATCTCCATGGAGACTTTAATGAATAGCAATGAAATCCTTTAAAATTCAGGTATAACTAGTGGATTTATAAAGATTTCATTAATAGGAGGATTTTAAAAGATTTGGATGGATTTCAAACTTAAAAATATATATAACCATTTTTTTTTTTTTTTAAATTTCACCATATTTGAGAAATTATTAGGATTTGTAATCTTTTAAAATCCATGGAAATCTTAGCAGAAGACACGCGAGTAAATTTGCAAATGTAAAATTGATTGCACGTGCTACAAACCTGTCAAAACAGTGGAGAAGAACCACAGGATTGGAATCACGATACATGGTTGGTGTCACGCAGCTACTCATTATGCAATTTTCAGAAAATCCAATCTGCAAAATATATATATGTGTGTGTAAAATGTATGTATATATTTGGAGGGGATGGGTGTGGGGTAGGAGTTGAAAGACCTGCACAGGAACTCTTCGGATTCTCTGAGCCAATGTTCTTGCTGAAGGGTCTCTGATATTGTGAATTTCCTTGGGAAGAAATGATGGAAACCCACCACCTCCACCGCCACCGCCTCCGCCGCATTGGAGAACTGGAAATCGAAAAGCCAATGCCCCCATTTTCTCTCCAAGACACACACTGTGAGTTAGTGATTTAGAAGAAGAAGAAGAAGTAGTCTTGCCGACACGTTTTACGAGAAGTGGCGCTCATGACTTCACTGTCCTGTCTTATGTTCTGTGAAGGCTGCAAAAAATTGCCAACTTTTCTTGTTTTCGAGGAAATTGCAAAAAATTGTTCATTTTCAGATAGTCATTTGTAATAATGTACAAAATTTCTTCAATTACTAAACAAAAATGTCCTCATTAACAATTTTAAATTTGACAAAGAAGGCAAAATTATTTATATAATTAAAAATGGTATGGATCAATAATGACACAAAATTTATACTACTTATTTTAAAAAGTAGAATGTCAATCATGGATTAAATGATCACTTCTCTCTGTAAGTGAGTAAGTAAAACATTTATGAAATGTCGAGAATTACACTTAAAATATCAAGAACATTATGAAATGAAGAAAACTTTCATATTCAACGAAGTCTCATTTTAAACAAATGAAGTATCAAGATCAATAAGGTCCAAATGTTATAACGACTTTTAGAATGTCAAGAACGTCACAAAATGTCGAGAATAATAATTATTAAACACAACTTATCAATAAAAACAATATTTCAAAGAAAAATTACCTTCATCGAGAATTGTGAAAAACCTAATCAACTTGAAAATTTGGATGTGATTAAATTTTTCGAACTGTCATTATATGATTTTCTTATGAATTGGAAGCATATAATTATTTTAAGTGTTAGTTTTTTAATTTCATCTTCTTCATTTTTTTTCCAAAATCTTTGATCAATATCTAATAAATAATGAAAGCAAATGAATTCATTAGATATTAGTTAGCATTAATGTAACTTCTCATGAAAACTACTTGTTCATCGTGAAATTCAGGACAAATTGAAAAAAAAAAAAATTGCTTCATTTTTCATTAAGGAATAGATAATATGATACCAAATTTAGCCATTTTGGTAACAACTATCAAAATTAGATCTACTTTTTGCCATTTTTGTAAATTCCCTTTTTCATTTCGGACAGCCTTTTTTGTTTTCTATCATAAGCAAACTTTTTTACTGGACAGTTTGGATGCGTGCATTAATGTTGTTTCGGTGGTTGGAATGGGATTTATTTGGTCTGAACTGACTTACTAGTCATGCTCAAAAGAAGCGTGTTTAATTTTTATTATTTTCTATTTTGTCAATTGGTCTTTTCTTATCAATTTGTCCAATTCTTAAGTTAAGAATTTTATAAATTATTTATTAATAGTCAAATTTCATTTTTAACCATACATTCTAATGAACGTACAAATACGATCCACTTATTCAATTGTTTGTAAATTCTTTCTAAACGGAGACTCCAATTTACTTTAATTTGATAAATATTATGTGAAGAATTCAAAAATTCCATATTATTAGAAGATTAGCCCCCGTTTGACTCCCATTCTNATTTTGGTAACAACTATCAAAATTAGATCTACTTTTTGCCATTTTTGTAAATTCCCTTTTTCATTTCGGACAGCCTTTTTTGTTTTCTATCATAAGCAAACTTTTTTACTGGACAGTTTGGATGCGTGCATTAATGTTGTTTCGGTGGTTGGAATGGGATTTGTTTGGTCTGAACTGACTTACTAGTCATGCTCAAAAGAAGCGTGTTTAATTTTTATTATTTTCTATTTTTGTCAATTGGTCTTTTCTTATCAATTTGTCCAATTCTTAAGTTAAGATTTTTATAAATTATTTATTAATAGTCAAATTTCATTTTTAACCATACATTCTAATGAACGTACAAATACGATCCACTTATTCAACGCTCGTATCTATCTATTCATAAATAAATTGTTTGTAAATTCTTTCTAAAAGGAGACTCCAATTTACTTTAATTTGATAAATATTATGTAAAGAATTCAAAAATTCCATATCATTAGAAGATTTTAAAGTTGAAACTGAGAAACTAGAATAAATCACGTCAATGATAAAAAAAAAAAAAAAAAGATAAATAGCCCGTACAGTCTCCAAAATCTTATTAATATCTCGTTTGTTGATCATATTGTCACTGTGGTGTGTTTGATGGATATTATTGAAAAAAAATGTATTTTAAATATGTGGTTAAAACGTAAGGAAAAGTAATTGATGTGGTGAAAAATATTATTTTATTAAAAAATGTGTGGTTGAAAATGAATTTTAAAAGAATATATTTTGATAGAATGTCGTCAATGGAAAAATATGTAAAATTATATTGTGAAAAAAGTTAAACGCAATGACAAGTCATCAATCACATCCTTTGAACTTGAAGTGCACGGTTCATCGTTACTTGTTACTCAGTTTTCAAGCAAATTGGTAATTGCTTTGTAAAGCATGTCGTACTGTATTGCGTCTCTAATTTGAACTTGATGTGCGTGGTCCGTAGTCACTAATTTTCAAGTTCATTGGTACATTGCAAAACGTGTAAATATAAAATTGTCGATCAAAGCCTTTCTCAAAATTCGAAGGACAAATAAAGTCCGACACGATTTGCTCTTGCTTTTTATTGCTCTTGCTTTTTATAGAAGAACTTTCGTGGGAATCCACCTTAATTTTTGTTTTAAAACTAATTTTTAAAAGTACTTCACATTCCGAAAGTGTTTTGTAAAAAAGTCATATTGGTCTTATTCTAAAAACTCTTCTAATTATTAGAGATACATTCAAAAAATTAGTCAAACAAATCCAAAATCAACTTTTGAGTCTCAAAAAACACTTTTGACTTTTCAAAAATTATGTCAAACGAGCCATGAGTCATTTAGATCATGACATTTTGAACTACTAATCATTCAAATAATGATACATCGACATCTGATATTCACTCTCTCTCTCTCTCTCTCTCTCTCTCTCTCTCTTGTCACTTTAGATGTCAATATGTCACGATTTGAATTTTTCGATTATCGAGATGTTACGATTTAAATGATCAACCTTACCACTTGTGCATATAAGTAATAGGACCATCATATTCTCCTTAACTTGAAGTTTGTGGTTCATTATCACTCGATTTCAAGTTGATTAATAGATACTTTACAAAGTGTGTCATGCTTATCTTAAGCTCGATTGCATTTTATCATGAGAAATTGGCACCTTTCTTTTCAAACATTTGTTATATGTTACTAATCTAACTTCAACCTTTTTTTAGCATAAGAAGTCAATAACCTTTCACTTAATTATAAATAAATTGTTTAAAATTCTTCCTAGATAGACGATTTATTTTACTCTAATTTCATAAATAATGCCTTAAGAATTTATAATTTAGATATTATCAGAAGATTTTAAAGTTGAAATTGAGAAACTAGAATAAATCATGTCAATGATAAAAAGAAAAAAGAAAAAGGATAAACACCTCACATATCTTCTACAAAATTCTATCTTTTGTTGATCATATTAACACTCAATTTATTTAGAGCTTGCGCCCCCCCCAGGGCATAGCTCAGTGTGAGTTGACAACTGTAGTGTGATGGTTCGATTCTTGCCTCTTATAATGTATGAAATTTGACTCTTTGTGAGCACCAGTGTGACAGTTCTTGTACCCTGACCTGTTGAGACACATCTCACGATTTACCTCATCCACAATACTCTAGGGACGGGGCGATGGGGGCCCTCAAGGTTGGGGTTCAATTTTTTTTTATTAAGAGCTTGCTAATAATGTCATCAATCGAAAAATATGTAAAATTAATAAATTATATAGTGATAAAAGATAAATGAAAAGACAAGTTGTCAGTCACGTCATTTGAAACTTGAAGTGCATGGTTTGTTGTTACTTAATTTTCAAGTAAACTGGTAAATTTTTTGCAAATTGTGTCGTACTCTATCACGTCTTTAATTTGAACTTGAAGTGCGTGGTTAATAGTCACTCAATTTTCAAGTTCATTGGTATTGAACTTTGAGAAAGACTTTGTATGACGATTTCATATGCACACATGATAGGATCAACCATTTAGATCATGAAATTTAGAACCACATATCATGACAGCTTTGCTTCCGAGGTCCACTTAATGATCGGTCCTACCATTTGTACTTATACATATAGGCCAATCTTGTTGATTTTTTTCTCCTAAACTTGGAAGTGCATTGTTCATTATCAATCGATTTTCAAGTTAATTGATAGATACTTTGCAAAATTTATCGTGGTTACCTTAAGCTCGATTCCAATTTATCATGAAAAATTGGCACTTCTCTTTCCTAACATTTGTCATCTGTTACCAATCTATCCTTAAACATTTTTTAGCAGACGATATTTCCAACATTTCACTTAATTGTAAATCATATCCATCCATCCATTTTTGTCGTTAAAATCCACATGAAATGACAAATTGCCCCTCCTTAAATTAATACAAAAAAATTGCACCAATAGTCCCAAATCTTTTCAAAATGAACAAATATTCTTCTTCAACTACCCCATTCTCCAACCCACTCCACCCCACAACCCAACCCAGTAGCAAATGATCAACATTAACTAGGTGACATTGACAATTCTTGAATAGTTTTCTGTTAAATTTGCTTCAAAAATGTCATGGTTATAATATATTTATCAATAAATTAGGTGGTAGCAATTGAATTTCATGTGTGAACACACTTTGCAGAGTCGATGAACATTAATGAAGGCAGTCCATGTGAATCATGCTATGGGCGTCCATATATGGGTACACTTATGTACCCATAGCATTTTCTGCTATGCTATAGCTATCACATCATTTATTACTATATTTGGTTCTTTTTCTCCAGTGTAACAAACTTCATACAATGATAGTAAAGGAATAAATAGGACCTAATGCCTTGATCATCAGTGAAAATTTGTAATTTACAGTTTTAATAGAATCAAAATTCCACATCTAAAGTTACAAAAAATTGTAATAAACAATTTCTAAACATCTTTTAGATCCCTATAAAATATAGGTTCTTTTTCTCACCCAGTTTCCAACAACGAATCTTGTTAATAGAGAAAATAGCATTTAGAAATTGGAGGATCTCATTGGCGTACATCTAG